TATATATACGTTTTAAGATGTCCATCATAAATCTTTCTTTTTGTTTGTCATGTTACATGCAGCCTGGCTGAAAATTTTAACTACCGTTCAACATGTTGTGTCCTCAGCAACATCAGGCAAAAACAGCGTCATATTTGTGGCGTTGATAGCGAAAAGTAAAGTTAAAAAAGGGGAAAATATGAAGGCAAGGAAAATGTCGCCTTTTTTAAATAATATTTCGTATCATAGGAAAAATCAAAGGACCTGTTTTTACGAACGTTAACTCGTCTTGGACCTATTCACTAAGATCAATGCTTTGTGAATTATTGTTTAAGTTATCATCGAGACAAACAAGAGCTTATTAGCCCAAGACACCTAGCGCACATGTCGTGAACATGTCTATAGAAATCGCCAGTGCTGAATGCTGCCATTGTCGCTGCTGCTGCTGTTGCAAGAACTGCAGTTGCAAAAGCTGTTCGTGCTGCTGCTGCTGCTGCTGCTGCTGTTGTTCTTGAGACTGCTGTAACTGGCTAGTTGCGGCAAGCGTATACCTCATGAGGTTGTAGTCTTCAAAGCCCTCAGCTAGTCGCGTTGCAGCTGGACCCCGGTGACTCAGATAAACCAGCTCGCGGCCCTCGTGACAGTCGAGGTACGGGAATGACACGACCAGTCCCGCGGCGTTATTGCAACCCACAGCAGCAGCAGCAGCAACAATCTTGGCAGTGGTAGAGGTGGGTTGACTGCTCCAAGGAACAGTAGTAGCAGCAGCTGTTGTAGGAGCAGCTGTGACAAAAAAAGCCTGCTGATGTTGCCGTTGTTCGTGGTGGTAGTGGTGTGGCTGTAGATGAATGGACGTCCTTGAACGTCACCTAAACGTACCATCCTGGCCGACTGCGGCTACAGGTGTGCCCCCACCCTGTGCGGTCGCGTAGGCGTCCATGGCTTGTTGATTCTGTGTACTAGCCGTGAGCAGAGCGTTCGCGTATTGGTGATAGTCGGCTGGTGTGTAGTGATGCGCGGCGTGGTGATACAGCAACGAGGGATCGGCTCCCATTAAAGCAGCGGTTGGGGGAGGTGCAGCTGAACTTCCGCCAGGCACGCCTAGGCATTAAGGTCGAGACAGAAATACAGAAACAAAAGAGAAACCAAGACAAATCTATTAAATTACACGTAGTAGGTCCCGTCTTCTTACGGCGCATCAGCTGGTTAGGGATAGTAAGTCCCAACAGAATAACCTGTTGACCAAAACGGCTAGATACACTGTTTCCTTACTGTTGACCTAATCATTTGTAGGTTAAAGGCACGGTCGTGATGGGTTCAGGTTTCTCGGGTTGGGGTTTGACTGGTGATACTGTTTACACTGTTTTCCTTCTATTTAGTTCGAATTAAAATGTAGCTTATAGCGTCCTCTATTTCAAGCCACGAAGTTATAATATGCTAAACCCTAGCCCAACATGTAAAGCATAGCACGGCATACTAGAAATATTGGCTTTTTGCCCAAAAACTAAGCGCACCTGTGTCGTAGCGAATCGATATATGCATATGGGTGCCTGTGACTGTACCTCAAAACCGCCAGTAAATAGTTTAGCGATCTTTCTAGTTGCTGGGTGTATCTTTCGACAATTTCGATCAGTCTAAGGTGACAGGTGTGGTCAACATGGTGCTGTCACACAATATGGTGCTGCTATTATTGTTGCTAAAAATGAATATTAGAATGTGCGTTTTGCTTCCGCATTTACATGGGGTACCCATCCAGAGAACCGACATTCAATCACGTTCAAGTCGCTCTAACTCAGCCCTTGGTGCGAGTATCCTTTTAAAAGTATTACTCTGTCTCGTTATTCTGCCGCAACAACAGTAGCCATAAGCCCGAGTATTAGAGATTCTCTAGCTCTGGTGTTCAACGAATCCAGTAAGAACGTGGTGAACGACTGGAGCCGACTCTTTTACATCAGGTCGAAGGCCTGTTGCTTGTTTCCACTGAAACTGCTGCCCAACTCGTGTGTTCGATAGCTCTAAGGCGAGTATAATTTGACTTGAGTTTCTCTCTGGGATTATTCGTTGCTGTAGAAAAACAGACGTAAAAGCTATACAGAGACAGACGTTAGGCGGAAGTCAAACTGTTACAAAAAAACTGCTTCATCACATAGTCACGATTTGTCGAGTTGCTACAATAGTTTGCCTTCTCATACAATGTTTATTTCTGGGTGGCATGGCTTCTCCGCGTACCGTGCATGGGACAGGGAGTAAAACGTGAAATTTTTCGCACTGAGGTCCATCCGTAATGGGCTACGGCATGATTTATCGATCCGTTGGTTGAAAACCAGCTGCACACGAGACTGACGTTGCTGCCAGAACACCACCCTGCTATTACTAATACGGTGGCAATTCACCTCTGTATTTGTGTTTCCGGTCATCTACTAAGACAATTAGTTGAACGAAAAGAAGCCTTCAGGTCGCAATTGATTTTTCACGTCTTCTATGCCCTGCCCCCTGTTAGTCCTGTTCACCTGTAGCATATCGACTGTATTATGCAAAGATGAGTGCAGGATACAAGGACTACGAGTGTGTTGAGCTAATGGGAATCACGAGCACGACAGCGTTTTGTTCGTGGGGATCATAAGTCATTGTCACGCGCGGGTCACAAAGCAGATCAAGCAGATGTTCGTAGCGGCTACGGCTACGGGGAGACAGGTCAGTTTAGCAGGTACATAAATGCGGTCGATTTTGCCGATCTGGACATAGACACAACTAAGTATTACAGTTATCATTTTGTATACAGGGTGTTGTCAAAGTGCATTTAAATGAAGCAGATATATAGATAAAGCGTTGAAGAAAAAAATGTTTGTATATTAACGGGAACAATCCTACACGAACATGTTTACTTAATGCAACTGCTGTTTGATTCGTTCCTAACTGAAATCGCTGACAGGTTACCCTAAAAATTGCGGCTTTAAATTCACCTATAAGCTTTGAATTGTAATTGCGAGAATAACGACACTACTATGTAAACTCTTGCTTAAACACGTAACACATAAAGAGTACTAACTTCAAGCTAAAACTTTACCAGAAGTGGGCTGCTCCAGAAGTCTAGGCATACAAAATAGGCAAGAAGCGTCAAAGGACGCGAAGACTATGTTTAGAAATGGCTAAATGTCGAAACTTAACTAGTTCATTCAGTTAGCAATAGGTGCGTTTCTTTCCAGAGTAGCCCCTGATTTCTACGCCAAAAGTCATTTTGATGAATTTTTTTAACAAAAACACCGCTTCCATAGAAAAATAACATGCTGCTAAAAAACAGTATACTTGCTAAGACGAACAACTAAGCAGAACCTCACCCAATTTGTCCCGAACCCTCTACATATGTGCAATTCCTATAAAACTACATACTGGTAAAATTCGTGTATTCACTGTTCATTTTCAAAGAACAATACACAAAACTCGATTTAATGATCAGAAAAGTATTATTCTGCTTAACCTGTCTTTTATTACGCCTAAGAGGCTGCACTGAATGTAGGGTTCCTAGCCTACAATGTGAAGACTATTTTTAAGTGTTCCAGCTGCGTTTCGTACCGAGAAGCCAATAAACACGTGGGTGTTTGCCCAGATAACTTCAGAGCTGTACTTACCTTTCGCGCCCAGCTCTCAAATAAGAAACATAAATAGACTACAAAGAACGTTTATTTGGTTACAGGGAGATCTTCTCCCTCTGGAGAAGTAGATTTGCGCTTCATTACTGGCTGGTTAACTGGCTATGATGTCCATCGGCTGTTCTATCTTTCGTTCTAGGTTACCTAAGTGCCTAGAGCTTCTAATGCACCTTAATGAGACCCTTAACGCCCTACCTAGTTAACGAGAAACAATACAGAGTTTATGAAGGTTACCTTTTCGGGGGTAAGTTTATGCTGTGGTACAAACTCTTACGAAACCGCACGAAAATGAAGCTCTTAAAGCAAAAATCGTCAGTCCGATGGCATATCCGGAATTTCTATAGGTTAGTGTTATCGTAAAGTCATTTATCGAGTTTATTTTAAAATATATCCATCAGACATGGTCAATTACACACATATTGAAGAGCTAGCGCCGACCCGAAATTGTTTTGACGTTACCGTTAAGAACAGCTGCAGGTAGCCTTGGCGACGAAAGAATGAGGGGTGCTCCTAGAGGCGTTCCTGTACGCAAGGGCGATGCAGCTAAGGCAGCCACAGGCGCTCCGACTCCGCCTACTCCACCAACCCCACCAACACCAGCCACGGACCCAACGCTAGCGGCTGCTGCGGCATTGAACAGCCGCTGAAGTTCCTGTGGAGCAGCCAAGAACGCATCCAAACTGGTTGCGGCCCCGGGAAACGCTGGAAGAATATAGATCAATAGATAAAGGTTTTTCGTTATTGCTAAGATCAGTCGGCAAGCAGGTAAGCGGAATACCCGTGAATGGTCTGCCCTTTTGCAGACTATTTGCTCTGGTGGAACATGCCAGAACAAGAGTTTGATTTTATCGTATATGCGTATGCTTAGTACAGCCTGTATATCTATTGTCTTTTACACTTCATACTCTTATAATGCTTAGTATGATTGTACGTCATACATTATCTGCAAGTTTTAAAGATACATTTTCAAATTTTTTTTTTTAATCTTAAGGCGACGTTTGCAATTTTCTTGTATGAATATAATGCTAAAAAAAATATCTGGATCTAATTGTATATTTATGTATGCATGCAAGACTACATGCGCTGCATGCCGCTATACAGAGTCGCTGTTGTACCCACCGGCACCATTAAGTGCGGACTTGCCAAGCGTGCTTGAGTCCCTGTATGTTCCGTTAATGATGGCGAGCTCCATGAGCTGACGCTTCTTCAACTCATCTTCGCCCTCAGTTACCGGAACCAAAAGCTTCTGGACCTGTTTTTATGTTATGAGAAAAACAGCACACACATACACAGTGAGGGAACGCTATTTATCAAAGTCAGATTATTTCTTACGCAACGCTACAAATCCATACACGAGTATGTGTTTGAGAGAGGGGTCAGTGTTACTTATAATGTCTTTTCTTTCACAAAAAGAAACTGGCAATAAAGAACTAGATAATTCTTTGTAATAGAAAACCTACAAAGGACCAATCATCCGTGTCTGCCAAAAACTAAAGGGTTCAGAACATTTCCTGAATATATCTATACACTCCTCGCAAAATATTATTCTCCTACGAACCTCTTCAACTGCTCTCTGAATTTTGATGTCTGCACGCTTCTCTGTATCTTCAACACTTATTACAACATGAAGTTCGTCATTGAGGTGCTCCCAGTTCGGTTTTCCACGATTTGCATCCTCCTAGAGCGCAAACAACAGTGAAAAGATGTGTTCATAATAGAAAATCTATGCCTGATACCATATCCGGAAAAGATAGAAACCAAATCCGGATCCCCCACACTAGCAGCACCTACAAACATCTATTAGATGTCTTAATGCAAAGGCGCCAATCGTAACAAACAATCAGAGACAAATGTGCATCCGCCACCATAATTGATACACAAAACAAGTTCAGCTATTAACTTCAATATGTACTTTTTACACGGAAAATTAAGTATCAAACTGATGACTATAATTACATACCTTTACCAAATTTCTACAAACCGTGTCTATAAACAGAGTAAGATACTTCTCATGCCCAATATGTGATATTAAATAAAACCATTTCAATGCGGTGAATAACAGAAGCTAACAAAACGAGATATAAACATTTAATAGTCTTCTTTCGAAGGCGTATCTTATCTCCCTGCCTTCTTAGCATTTCATTCACTTGAACCAATGCTGCGATTTGTGGTACAACGAAAAATCCCATTTGAGGATCGGATATTTTTAATGCAATCTAAACTACCTTTTATTTTAACGTAATATAATAATGAGTTGTGGATAGTGTGAGGTTCTAGATTGAAAAGGCGAATAAAAAATATGCAAACAAATAGGTGCGCGTGCAATTAAGCATGTTCCTTAATGCTTCCCAGGAGTGTCTAGACGATCTGAGCTTTGGGGGACTGACCAAGCTGTGCGAGCCCAAGAAGACTACTAAATAGACATTTTAAGTTCTGCGCCCGGTACTGGCGATAAGTTGTTTTAGGCGGCTGGCTGTAAGCATGAAATAGGGCAATCAGGTATCTCTGAGTCTAGTAGGCAAACGTATTACCCATATTACCGCTTTAGCACTGCGGGTGTCCCGATGGAAGTGCTACTGCTACAACCATCACTACAGTCATGCTCCTAAATACATAACTTGTACGTACACATAAACGATCAAGCGAAGGCTATATATATATACACACGGTCGGCAAAAATGCAATGTACGCATGATGAATAGCAAGTGGCCCCTCCTTGGATTGTCTATAGGCTTGGTTATGATGACGTATATATTTGGGAATTGCGTCGAAGAGCAGCCTCTCAATCTCTTCTGCATTGTTTTCTCCTGCTAGAGGTAATTGTGGAGCCTCGAAGCGAAACAGAGCTAAAAAGGAAGTTAGCCAACGGTACATGAAGTCAGGAAAACTTATGTTAGCTTGTATAATAGCTTACATAATAATAATACAGCAGGCGCCTACTTTAGGAGGGTGGATTTTACTGGCTGGCCACCGAGCCGATTCACTCTAAACACACGTACGCCTATCAAGACACGCTGTGGCCATCGAGCGAATGCCGATATGTGTATAGAAAAACCGTCAACGATCAGCTGAATTGAGTAATTCTGTTAGCGCAAGAAGGAACAAGCATATGCAAGATAAAGGGACTCGCTTCGCTAAAAAGATGCTTTATCCGTCTGTACGTAAGCGCACGTTTAGAAATAGAGCTTGGAGCAAAAATGCAGGAGCGACTTTGCTGGACGCAGGCGTTTTCTGAGAATCTGCTAGAAGCATCTTGGGCATGCATGCAGATAATCTTTCTCTCAGTTCCTTTTATTTTCCTGTGGCCATTATATTATTCATCCGTTTTTTTACTGTTGCTTCATCTCGTCTTTGTTTTATTAGCCCTGTACAGCATTAGCTAACCAACATTTGTCAGTTTCATTCATTCGCCAGTTTTTGCTTGGCTGTATTCAGCGAAAGACCGACGCTCTGCCTACTCAAGAACGGTACCTTTCCTTCCCATCGACAAGGATCGTGTGTCCATGGCTCCTGACAGCTAAAATTATCAAAGGATTCAGCGACGATTGCGCACAGAGCGCCAACTGCACACGTGCATGCATATTATACGTTCAACCGAAAAAGTTTCAGTGACCAGCGTGCTGAGACAACGGCCGTACTGGCAATCGTACGAGTGGGATAAAGCACATTTAATGATCTTTATTTATGTTCTTCTGTTCTTTTTCTAGCTTGCCGTATTTTTCGGTATGCGTATTATTATTGATGCCATTACGCTATACGAACTGGTAGTATATCATATGGATCTTGCTTGCCCAGCTGCTTCTGCTATGGCCATACATTTAGTTGTTTGCCACGTTCGGCGTGCTCCGGCAGAATCTCCGGAACCATAAACTAAATGGACCACCAGTCGATCTGGCGAGATTCAAAATCTCCCCGGAGCTGCGCGGAGATGGCTGTGAACGACTGAGCTCGTGTCCGGTTTACGCCGTCCAAAGTTAACCGCAGCAACAGATCTTCACGCTACGCAGCATCCTCACCAAAGCTGACAGACCGCTGTAAAAACGATAACAGCACCGACTTTACTGCGTGCACCAGTTACATGGTTTCACTTACTACAATTGCGAATCATGTCCTTGCTCGATATATGATAGATGTCCAACGGCTACATACTCTTGACCAAGACCTAAATTTACAAGTACGTTGTTGTCGATGATTTTTCTCCAAAAGCGAGAAGTGGATGAAGAACAGAAATTACGTCGGTACACAAATTACGAAGAAGTACAATGTGGGGTGGTTTCGCATTAATTCATATTTCAAGAGTATTATTTTCTCGCAATCTACGACCTGTAGATTCCTAACAGTGTAGTCGTAGCATAACAGTTTTACCTGTTAATTATATAAACATATGTTTCTTGTTGGAAATCAATAGAGGACTTACATACACAAGTTGTCCTTTAGATATTAACAACGAAATTCAAAGAGGTTACCGATTTAAATCGTTAAAGATGAAACTCTCCATGAGTCTCGTTTAATTTACGTCTTCAATATGAAAATCATCGTCATCGTCGTCTTCTTCTTATATCTACCATGTCTATGTCTCTAGACTCGGTAAAAATGTATGCATACACCGGCATGCTTGGACTATCCATAGTAGTTAAAGACCTTTGAATTTATTCCTGCTTACCTTTTTTTCTTCATAGAACAAGGTAACGATTGCGCAGTAGACATCCAGACCCTCGTTATACATTTGTCGAACAGGACACTAGATGTAGGACTTCGTCCTGATCATCTTTTGGCCATCTCTTGTCAGAATCTACCATGGCACGACTGCTGTGACCTGTGAGCTCTTCATTGCCGTCAAGTATAGTAGCAACTGTTGTTACAGCTGCTAGCTACTACCAGCGTCGCGATGGCCACTGCGGCCGCGGATACAGCCACTCTGACCGAGAGCGGGTATTGTCGCTCTCTGACGACGATGCGATAATCTACACAGTGCATACGTTTCTATCATTTTAGTTTACTCGCCTAACGACCATCTCAACCCTTCTATTTGTCGTTTGCTCACTCCATTCTGTCTGATTTTTCCTTTTATTACTCTTTTACTCAAAGGAAGAGAAATACACCCGCTAACGCCACAGCAACCACACCACCGCCGACTCTATTCCTGATACAGGTAATTGCTACCGCTGCTGCCCTGTAACGTTGACGCCGACGAAGCGAACGAAGGCACAAGGCCAATGGCAACGACGAAGCCGAGGACGTTTTCGCCATCAATGAACAAAGAATTCGCCTTGTGTGGTCGCCAAGTTTGGCCAAGCCGGTCAGTCAGCCAGCCGTATTCAACGGTCGACAGACACGGCCAATGCATTTGGCTCGTTTGGTTCGTTGCGCGAGTTGCCTTACGGAGGCTTGGACAAGAGACGCTCGGTTTAGAGCAGCGTTGGCACCGTTGAGTCGCTGCTGGCTTTAGAAATCAGATGGGTTCAAGACTACGATCAGAGACCCAGTATCGCAGCGAGCACCCGCAGTCAACTGCCGCAGCTGAACGAGTCCATCGAGCGTCCACCTCTCTACTGACCTTATGTTTCCGCTGCGATCTTTATGCTCTGGTCGAGCGCAACGTAAGCTTAACACAGGGAAAGACGAGTGTCGTAGACTCGGAAGAGGAGCTACATTAGTTGGTGTGACGATTTAAACATTTCATTACGAACACCGCGTACAAAACGAATAGACCCGCTGTTTGTCGCGATTTGCTGCTACCGAGCTCGCTATCTCTGGTACTATTGGAGTATAACTATATAAATCAATTATGGCCTGTTGGCGGCTCTTACCTAGTCATGCTATTCGTGGCAGGCTGGTTGCTTTTCGACTCTGCCAGTGAAACGCTACCGAGCAAGCAGCAGGCGAGGCGTGAAACGCACATGGTGTCAATACACCGAGCACTCACTGTAGAAACATTTACTATTTATGCTACCACCATCACTCCTCCAGATTGTGCCTACCAACATCTTCCGCGCAAAAGCTTACTGGCAACGAGAATCATTGAGTAGCAATTTGCCTAGGTAGTATTGCATTGGTTGGACAACCCAGCTACGCGCGCTCGCACTAACACGCAGGCACCCATAAGGCTAAATTGCAGAATGTACGAACCTGATAATCACAGTCCGCCTGCAACAAGGCTCAAAAGATCACTTATTCAAGTCGATACGTATTTATTTCTACTATGATTCGTACTTATTTTTTATAATTTTTATTTTAAATGTGAAAATAAAAAAGCCACGAATAAGAACTGTCACACGTGTAGACGGATAGAAAGAGTGTGGACTGTGTTGTGGTTGGCTAGAATATTACGGGTGGGAGATCGCCTCTGCTTTTGGTAAGCAGGAGTTTCTTTGTTCGGTTAGAAGAAATACTGTTTTTTTTCCGTTACAAGGTGTATCAACATCGTAGTAGTAGTATATACAAATTCTACCAGATCTTACATTCCCATATAACAATCCTTCGGGAAAATCGTGTAGCTTACTTGACCTTTGAGGGAATGCCAAATCATCCTCCAGATCGCTTCCAGGTGGCTCGCCCAATTCTGCTTTATGTTAAATTAGTTGGCAAATAGAAGAGCGGATGCAATTAATGTGTGCTTGACTCGGTGACAAGATTCAAATCTGTATTGATTAATGACTACAGTGTAAAGATCACTCG